AGGCAGCCTGGGCGGCTGGTCGGGACGCCGCGGGGCAGCTGGTGCTGTCAGGCTCTTCAGAAAAGACTCCCGGGACGAGCAGAGACTCCACATCTTTCTGGGGTGGAATTCTCTTTGGAGCTGAAGAGGGGGGAACCTCCAAAAGAGCTGTCACCTCTCGCGGGCCCCCAGCTCCCAAAAGACCCGAGGCTGATGGCAAAGGTGCAGCTGAGGCAAGACAAGGTCCGCATGGACAGGAATGACGGAGCAGACGGCAGTGTTAACCACGCCTTCTCACCGAGAACACAGTGAATACGCTGGAAAACAGAGGGCCAGATCACCACGGGACTTCATTGATCCAAGGCTCCTTCCACTGCAAGCCTGTCCAGATACACTTCACACCTAATGCTCCCTTCTATTCCAAGAAGTAACTTTACCCCTTATGTTAAGGAGTCATAGGATGAGGCCTTGCTGAAGGGTTTAATCAAAAGTTTTCAAAAATACATTACCTGACTGTATCACCCAGTTTTATTCATTCTCTCCTGTAAGAGTTTTTTTTTTTTTTAAGAGGAAGATACAAAGTCAGACTTGCTCACTTGTAGATATTTACTACTTTAAAAAAAAAACAAAACAAACAAACCAAACTGTTTAGCAAGTATGTTACCATCCATTTGATGGATAGGGCAGCAATAGATGGTGCTTTGTCACAGGCATTTTGTCTATTTAGTCTAAAATAGCATCTCCTCTGACGCCTCACTTGGAGGCAGATCTTCGGACTTGTTCCCACGACGACCGCTGTGTTGCACAGGTTCTCTAAAGGAAACAGATACAAAGCACTGACCTAAGGCTGAGGGAGGGAGACTGGAGAGGGATTCTATGTGGACTGAATCTTCAGCTGTTGGGGTTTTTTTTTCCTGTTTATGCCATGATCAAATGTTAACCCCATTGGCTTCCTGCTTAAGATGCATTTTGGTGAAAATGAAGCCCCTTCCATACCTTTTCTGCATTTAGCAAGTCAAAAGTCCTTTTTACGACCAACAACATTTCCTGCACAATGCTCAAGACTAAATGGAGAAATCTCCTCCGAGCTGTTTGGTTACTCAAACCAGAACCCAGATGTCTGCGCTGCCAAACCTTGTGCCTCACAGCACACCTGTGTGTCATTTGCTCAGGTCCGATGCCAGGTGTCACCAGCAGCACGCCACCACATCACTTCTGCTCCCTCTCCCTCCCATAAAAAAAACTTTCAAAGCCAGTTTCTAGTTGACCTCCATTGGTTTATTTTAGTTTTACACTTTGTCCCTCACATACAGTTATTTAAGAGTCCTGTACTGTTAGATTTCTACAAAAATATCATTTTTTCAAAAGCAGAAAAGAGGGAAAGATATATTTTAATATATAAAAGGAAAAAAGCTAAATCTGACATTTCATTATATTCTTAAAAACATTCCAGTCTATTTACAGATGTGTAAAAAACAAAGAAAATCTCCAGGTCTCTTGGTCTAGTGAGAATGTGCGCCTTGCAGGGGTTTCCTTTGTTCTCCCAATTCTAAAATCTTTTTATTACATGTCATACTCTTGCATTATTGCCTCAAAAAACAGCATATATAATTTTTAAAAGGTTTGTTCCAAACCAATGGGAGCTTGAGGGCAGAGTGAAAGAGCATTTAAATTTGCAGCAAAATATGAAGCTGCAGACACAAGACGGTGCAACAAGGAGAGTAAGAACTAAGAGCATTTCCAACGTGCTTTGTTGCTTGGTAGAACCCGTCATAGGTCCTTCCTGGAACTGCACCAACTACCACTTTTTGCAGCCAAATTTGAGGTCTGTTCTTAGTTAATTTAGTAATCGTGTTCACGAACCAAAAATTTTTGCTGTCATCTTTACACAGTACATTTTTATTGCAGTAAAATTCCTTACTGCCCAATGCCAAACAGTAAATACATCCAGGCATTTTCCGTTACCTTGATAATGGACAAAACATCCTCACAAGTACAGCATTTGTTTCAGATAATATTTGAATGGTTTTCATGTTACAGCTTTCTCTGTCCCACAGAAGTGTGCAAAGCACAAATATTTTTAAAAAGTGTTCAGATACAATTAGCACACAATTCTGTAATTAAAAGTAGCCATTTAGAACCATAAAAGAATGGGGTGCAGAAAGAAAGGTCAGTGATTCAGAATTTGAAAGGAATCGCAGCACAGTTCTGGTTGCCGTTTCACTGGTAGGAGGAATGAAATCTGTTGGCAAAACAAACTGCCACAGGTAAAAAAATAAGCAACTTCAGCCTATTAGAAATGCTCAGAACCAGATTCCCAGGTAAATAACTTTAAGTCTGATGTAGTGCTACTAAACTAGTTTAGTTACTCCAGATTTCCACTAGTTTAAAATAAAGTTAAAATTCTTTAGTAATCATCAATGTACGTCTAAATACTTACTCATATTGTAAAGTCCCTTTTCTAAAGCATTCAGTGACAACTGTAAGACCCTACATGACTCTCGTGCTGACCTATGCTCTCTTGTCCAAATCACTAATACAGGACTTGTATCAAATATTACAACAGTAAGTATGCAAAAAGGCAACAGAGAGTTGTATGTAACTGCTTTAAAACACACCATTTAGAATGGCCAGGTGAAGAATCTTTTTTATGTAGGCTCTGGAGTAACTTTACTCATACCGAGCTTGAAGGGCTTCTCTCCTCCGCAGCACAGTGTAAAATCACCAAAAAGACGAGGGAACACCCAAGGTACATGTAGCCTCTGGAGAATCTGACCTAGACACAGCTCCAGAAGACGCAGCTTACTCAACAGGGCGTACAGCTGCGCCGTGTACAAACGCTGCTCCCCAAGTGTGGAAGAACATCACTCTCAACACCTGCACAGCCTCAGTGCCGCAGAGATAGGATTCCTGCATTACCACGTCACCAAAGATGAGGAATTGGAGGGGGGGGGGGGAGGAGAACCCAGCTGCTGTTGCCGGAACTGAAAGACAGAGGGTTACATTCCTAAACATAAAGCAAAACGCACCACCAAATTCTGTATGATTTTCACGGCAACGTTTTTTACCTTTTTGGAGCAGTTAAGAAGCCCCTCAAGCGCACCATAGCTCATATTTACAAACTTGATAGGAAAAGATTGTGTATACACTCATTAACAAATCATCTCTCCTAGGCTGAAAATTTCATCTGTCAAAAAAACTATGAAAACAAAAATTGTGTACAAAAATATAAATATCTTTACAGTCTGTAGGCCCTTCACATCCAACAGCTGAACAGTGAAGAGTACCTACAAGTTACTGAGTAAGCAGTGGCAGAGAAGAATAAAAAATACATCTTGTGATTCAATACTGCCCTGTTTCCCTGGTAATGAGCATTTTTGTTGACTTTTTTTTTTGCTATACACAGTTTGTGCAAATGCAGTGAGAAACCTCTGAGTACCTTTCCTGAATTTATAAAGAAATGGAAGGTTGGGAAAGATATACACATATTTTCATATATACATTCACATATACACCTCGCTCATTTATGCTAGGCTACAACAGTCCTGAAAGCGTTCTGTATTTTTATGAAGCAACACTTCCTATCAACATTCCTAGCCACCAAACACATCTTGAAGAATGACAGGAGGAAAGGAAACAAGATCTGGGAAAACACTCAAGCTACTTCAGCAATGTATTTAAAGATGTAGCAACAGGGTGCCCAAATTTCTTTCTACTCTCTGTAATTTTTTCCTTCCAGATGCCCTAAGCATCAAAGGAGCAGGTATTTGTATAGGGACAGGAGCCAAAAGTTTTTTTGTTTGGGGTTTTTTTTTCTTTTTAGTAGTTTTACTAAAGTTAACATACTGTCCTACTTCTAATTACACTGGGAAATATCATTTTCCTCCCCATGTAGTAAGAGTTATAGATCTTTATTAAAATCTTCTGTGCATAAACTCCTAAAAAGAGTCTCTGCCAGAGAACTATCTAGCACCAAAGAACAAAAACTTTTCACTTCAGCCCTCTGCAGTCTCAGATTTCCCTTCCGCTGCTCTAGGTAACAAGTTTGAGAGTAGCCTCAATCCCATTTCTGCACATTCATCATATTCTGCAAACATTAAAACCAGCAAGTATGAATAATCCCATTTCTGCATAGATAATTTGCCTGGTACAAAACCAAGTAATTCAGATTTTTTTCCCCAACAAGACAGAAGCCTTCCTACTGGGGGGGGACAGGGACGAGGAGGGGGAGAAATCTCTTTCAATAGCCTAGGTTTCTAAGTCCTCTGACAAAGTATTTCTGTGAAAGACCCAATTTTGGAAGGATACCATGTGCCCAGCAATGGTTATAGATCATCTTCCTTGTTTTGTGAAGGGGAAGAAGACCCAGAATACAACAGTGAGGTAAAAATACGTCAACATGCTTAAAGTTTCATAGCACTTATTTCTCAGTTTGGGGCCTGCCCTCAGATGAACAGCGTGCTGACGCCATACAGAAAATAAGCGTTGCAGACAAGGGAGGATGCTGAACTCCGACACTGGCTCACACTGCCCCAGATCTCCATTCCAGTCTCCGATAAAAAATATATGCATTTATTTGCCTGCTGTATTTGAGGGCAAGGTCCCAGCACTATTCAGTTTCGTAACCACAGGTGCCAATGTGGGCATCGCTATGTTATCCTGTCCTTCTTGAACTGTGGCAGGTAACGAAGTTTTTACCCCACTGGGTGCCAGTTTTGTGGCTACAGGTGCCAATAAGGGCATCACTTTATTACTCTGCCCTTCTGAGTCCACTGGCAGGCTTGCCACTTTTAAGCCAAGCGGTGCCAGCTTGGGCATGGGCCTCCACAAAGTGTCAGCGTTAGTAGCTTCTGGATTAGTTTTCATCTGCAACACCGGTGGAGTCACATTAGTGGTCTCTGCCAAGGTTGTTACGGTTTTGCCATTCCCACCACTGGTGACAGACAGATTGGGCAGTGGATCCTTTGTTTCAGCACCTATTACTATCTTTAAAACATCTGCTTCAGATGAAGGCTCCCCAGAATTCTTGTCCCCATCAGTAAGGTCATCATCTTCCAGGTGCAGCAGGAGAGGGCTTATAGAGCCACCAGCCCCTGGAACTTCAGAAAGATCCTTAAAACTGCCTCCCAAATGGCCAAACTGGAAGGAAGATCCATCCGCGGTGGTGAGATCACTGGCTGTTCCCTGGCGAGCTTCCGTGTCCTCATGAGAGAAATCCGAGTTTAGCGTGCTGGGCAGTTCTGACATAGCTGAAGCATCATCGTTCAACTGCTGATTGAGGAAGGCAATCTCATTGAGCAGGGACGTGAGGGTTTCATCAGTGTCATCACCCTCCTCAATGCTGCTCAGTAACTCACTTGCATCCAGTTCTGCCTCCTCCATTGCAGATGCTACTTTCCTCAATTCCATTTCTATCCTGGAATCTTTGATCTGCAGCTTGCGGAATGGCAGTTCTTTAGATTTTGATCTTTCCCCTCCAGGATCACTGTCCTTCCTCCTGGCTTGGCTTCCTACAAACTCACCAATGCAGGCCTTTTTGCTAAGGGACTCTAGAGGTTCTTTTGTACACGACACGTTCCGGAGCTGTGGAAACCCATCTTTATTTTCAAAGACAGCTTTTGTGGGACCTGTGGTATTTCGTCCATCTCCGCCACTGTCTCCAGGACACGGTTTGGCTTTTTCTTCTGAAACGATGCTATCACTCTTCCTACTTTCAAGCGGTGCTGCAACCAAGGATTCCTCAGAAGCCTGAGTACCTGCAGCTGTTGTTATATTAGAATCTTTGTTTCTGTTCAGGTTTAGATTCATGTTTCCCTCGGCAGCCAGTGATGTTACATTAACAATCTTTGGCATCATGAATGAATCTTCACTTTCTGCAAAACCAAACAAAACAGCATCCATCAGGATCCATGCTAACTGCAGGACAACCCCTAGTTACATGTAATTTGCTCACTCTCAGGTCTCTCTCAATTTAAACTGTTAGTGAAGCCTTAAAACACTAATTGCTTAACTTTTGACTTGTAGAACAGAAGCAAGCTCCACATCTATTATCCCAGAACCATTTCCCCAGTCCCTCCCTTCAGCAGGCTGGCGTAACTGCAAGTAACTGTAATGCTGACAATTCTGATGGTGATGCACAAGGAAAAGAGAGTAACAATTTTCTCCCTTACTGTTTCTTCATACTTTACTTTTATGCTCACATTTTGCAACACTGGTTTTGTGCACAATACTAGAGAGGCATTTCGTTGACTACATGATTACTTACTGTTTGCCTCCAAGCAGTTTCCTACTTACAGCACCCAGATTTTTCCCAGCCCCAAATCTGAAGTGAACTTTCCTTTTTCATTATGACCAAATGACTACAATGAAGCAGAAAGTGTGTGGCAAGGATGCTCAGTGAGGCAAAGTTAAAAAGCTCTCATCTATAATCCCCTAGAGGCCCCTCTGAACCGTTCAAAACACTTAATAGTGATTTTCTTTGATTACCCAGACAATAATACCTATCATTACTTCATAGTGAGAAAACAATTTACCTTCATTTTTGCAAGGACAATGTTCCCTGCATGCAAGCAAAAAGATCCATGAAAAATAAAGAGCCTACCTGGATGGGGCTCTGCAGCAGATACTACCGTTGGGGGCACTGGGTTTCCAGCAACAGTTGACAGTGTAATGGGAATGGTGGAGTTAGTAAGGATTCCTTTTACTTGAACAGGAACTGTTGATCCTGGCAGCTGAATCACCACAGAAGCAATACCTTATCCAAGAAAAGGGGAAGGGGGGGTGTGTGAGGTGGAAAGAAGAGCCTTTCAGATACTCCACTAAGCCTGAAAAATAAGAGCCTTGCACTTCTAGGCAAGACTTTACACTGTAATACCATCTGAAAGTGGTAAAAAAATAGAAATATAGATTGATTAGGTCATTAAGATACCTTTCCTATGTTTCCCTGATTTGAGAATAGCGAAAATTTTACTTACCTGTTGATAAACTGATAGTTTGAGGTAATTATATCAAACCTCTCTTATCAAGAGTCAGGTTCTACCTCAGTTAAGTTGTAAAATGAAAAATTAAAGCAAAAACTAAATCACATGTTACTTGGTAAACTGCTATGCACATCTACACGCAGCATTACAACAATTTTCATTAACATGTTCTCACACAATCGTACCTGATTGCGCTGTCATGGTAGTACTGACAGCTTGAGGCTTTAATTCAGCTTGCAGTAGTGTAGAAGGAACAGCTGCTACCTGCCCTGGTACCAGTGGGCTCTTCAGCGTAAGCACCTGCCCCTGTGGGGTCATCACTAGGCTTGCAGCAGTTAGTGTAAGAGAGGATGAGGTGTCCTCTGTAAAAAAGAAATATGTACATCCGTAATGTATTCTGGCATAGCACCCTTGATGGCAAATGACATCCTGTGATCCAGTGTTAAGCACAGTTGCGGAATGAACTCCAGATAGCAGGTTTACAAGCCCTAGATTACAAAGCTGCTGCAGAAGCTATGCAGGCTCCAGGAACCTCACCTGCATAGCTAGAGCCTGAGTCTGTACTATCCCTTCCTGCAGTGTAACAATCCTAACTCTCCAGAATGGCATCCCGATCAAAGCAGTCTTGCTGAAATTACAAAGGGGGCTTGTTCAGCCCAAAGAAAGGCAGGCAGATCTCTCACCACATCCCAATTCTGATGCTAAACTTCCCCAGGACTGGGCAAAAATCAGGCTTGGGAAACCAGAATGATCGGATGTTTATAAAAGCCCAAGACCACTTCAGGTAAGGTCTGTTTATTATTACTGAAATAAGAAACATCACCAGATCCTTACAGAGGGTTATAGTGGTACTACCATGAAAGTCTGGACTTCTGCTATTCTTTTGTTCCTTCCTATATTTATGGTGCAAAAGTCTCCATAAACACCTAATACTTCTCCACAAGCTCTCAGCTCCAAAAAAATTCTCAAGCATCTGACAATTCTGTCACTTAAATTAAGAGCAAGACTTCCACCACCTTGAGAGCTAGCTTGTTTGGGGAGGGATGTTTTAAAAACTGAATCTATTCTAGCAACTCCAGTATTCCAGGGGTTAAGCTTCAGGTTCTGAGTCAGCAGAACCACCACTTTTGATTCTCAGGAGTTACTGCAGGATTGCAGTGGAACTCCATGACACAAAAGCTTCATAGGAATTTACTTCCCATCATTCTGAAACTCGAAAGTCACATTCATCTGAAGACCTCAGTAGTGGTCTCATCCTTATTGAAAACAAATGGTTTCCACACCTATCGGATGGATACTTCTTGGTCCTATACTCAATTCTGCTTCAAGAATGAAGTTGCCTGCACAAGCAGGATAGCATTTTGCCCTCCCATGGGGTGCTGCTTCAACGTCTGTCTCCCCTTTATCGGAAACGTGCATTGCTTTTAGCCCACCTGTGGCACGGACTCCTTTTCTGGCAAGTATCAATGGCTTGCCTCTTCTATTTGTCATAGCGATTTGGGGCAGCTCTCTGGAGGGAGCAGCAGATACTTCTCGCTGTGTGCTAGCAGTTGAGGTTACAACAGGTTCCTCTGGCTCAGCTTCTTTCTTCTTTTGTGCTTCTACTGCTTTTTGTTTGGCATAAATATATTCTAGCTTCTTCAGGACAACCTCTTCTGTCTTCCCTACAGAAAAATTATCAGAGAGTCAACATATCTTCAAACTCTCTTTCCAAAACTAAAGAGCTGAAGACAGAACTAAAAATCTATTGAGTTGACACCATTCAGCTACTGTACAATAGATAACCACCACCCCACCAAATAAATACTATACTTAATAACCGAGGGAAGTCATTACGTATTAGCAGCTCTGCAGAGAGGGACCTGGGCGTCCTGGTGGACGACAGGTTAACCATGAGCCAGCAGTGTGCCCTGGCTGCCAAGAAAGCCAATGGGATGCTGGGGTGCATCAAGAAGAGTGCGGCCAGCAGGACGAGGGAGGTTCCCCTT